CTGTAGCTGTGAATAGTCTATGCAGCAACCCCTCCTCTTGCCCACATTTGTCAACAAGTCAAAATGCAGAGGTGTGTTGGGGGACGAATTGACTCCGCAGTGCATGTTTGCATGCAACTTTTTAAATCCACCGGCTGATCCGATCACAAGAGTCAAGACGTTCCAACTTACTTTTCTTTCCATTTACTATTGAGTTGAGCCGTGTGCCCTGTAAAAAGTGTTGAAAAGAAACCTTTTCTTTTTCGGCCAATCTAATTCTTGGGCTTGCAGTCCTAATAAGAGGCTCCACAGTTTGGCCTTCTCTCTCTCTCTCTCTCTCTCTCTCTCTCTCTCTCTCTCTCCCCCCATAGGCAAGAAAGGATGGAAAACCATAGGGTGACAACTTGGTTAATGACAACTTGGTTAAGTGTCATTATATAAATATAAGAGCTAATTGTAATCAATTTTAAAAAGACGCTTTTGAACGATCTGGTTGATTTGCTTATTGGAATAAAACAAGGGAATTGCCGCCCGAGCAGGCCTATATATACACGCACTGACTTACCAACAGAATGTAATCCCAAGATTTCATAACCTCTGCAAGTCTCTGAAGAAGAGAGGAGCGAGGGAGTGAGTGCTTGAGCTGAGCTTCTTGAGAGCATCAATGGCCGTTCACGTTCTGCTGCTTCTTGTGGCCTTCATGCTGCTCAGTGCATGCACTGCTTTATTGAAGTGGAATGAGGTGAAGTACCGGAGGAAGAAAGGGTTGCCTCCGGGCACGATGGGCTGGCCCTTCTTCGGTGAGACCACAGAGTTCCTGAAACAGGGCCCAAACTTCATGAAAAACCAGAGAGCAAGGTCATTTCACCCGCTTCTTTGCATCACTGCATTTCTTTTTTGCGAAAAGATGATCTATTTTTTTGGTTTCCCTGACTACATTTTTGTATGTGCAATGTGCTTTCATCCTTTCCTTTTTTTCTTGAGGGTGTGGCTTTTGTCACTTCAATGGCTGCAGATTTGGCAATTTTTCTATGAATTTTTTCCTTTTTTGGGTTCGGTATCGGGTCTCTGCCAAGCGGATAGTCACTGGTCCATCTCTCCGGGCTAAGTCATAGGCAAACTATACAAACCTGGCCTCTGTTGCCTGCACAGGACTTAAACCTGAGATAACCACGCAAACGGCCCTCCTGAGTACTCTGTAAAATGTTACTGTGAAGAAGAGAAGATTTCTCATGTCTGAAACAGTTCATTTTTCTCTTCTTTTTGCAGTGACCCTACTATAAATTTGGTCTGAGGTGCTTGATCCTTTTTTATACTGTTGACAGGTATGGGAGTTTGTACAAGTCCCACATTCTGGGGTGCCCGACAATTGTGTCCATGGACCCAGAGATCAACAGGTTCATCCTCATGAACGAAGCGAGAGGCCTCGTGCCCGGTTACCCGCAGTCCATGCTCGACATATTGGGCAAGAGCAACATTGCCGCGGTCCATGGGTCCGCCCACCGACACATGAGAGGGGCATTGCTCGCCCTGGTCAGCCCCGCCATGATCAGGGACCATCTCTTGCTCAAGATCGATGAGTTCATGAGATCCCACCTCAGCAACTGGGCTGATCATCACACCATCAACATTCAAGAAAAGACCAAACAGGTATAGAGCATCATATATGATACTATTGATTCATCTAGTTTTTGGCACTTGTAGCGTTCAGTCTGATCTTGTTTCTATTTTTTTTTCAACTCAGATGGCATTTCTATCATCTCTAAAGCAAATTGCCGGTATCGAATCCGGCTCGAAAGCTAGGGCATTCATGGATGAATTTTTCAAGTTGGTCCTTGGAACTCTGTCCCTGCCTATTGATTTTCCTGGCACAAATTATCGCCGCGGATTTCAGGCAAGTCCGCCTATTTAGGTCCCATTCAGGAAGAGTCCAAACAAACAAACTTTCCCCAGTTTCAATCGACTTAACTTATTCTTTTTTTCTGGTTTTTTTTAGGCAAGGAAGAATATTGTCAGCATGTTGAGGCAACTTATGGAGGAGAGAACGGCTTCCCAAGAAACCCACCAAGACATGCTTGGCTATTTGATGAGAGAAGATGAAAATAGATACAAGTTGACGGATGAAGAGATAATAGATCAGATAATTGCCGTTCTGTACTCTGGGTATGAAACTGTCTCAACAACAACCATGATGACCATCAAGTACCTGCATGATCACCCAAGGGTGCTTCAAGAACTAAGAGTTAGTGTTCGTTTTTGGTTTTTACTTCCAAATATGCTTGTCTCATATCTTCTCAATTGCATGAAAATCTGACTAGCTTCGAAATCGGGCAGAGAGAACATTTGGCAATCAGAGACGCCAAAGAACCTGAAGATCCAATTGACTGGAACGATTTCAAGGCGATGCAGTTCACGCGTGCAGTAAGATGCAATGCAACATTCACTCATCTAGGAAACAATCATTATGTGATTTATATGAAAACAGGAGTCATGTCTAATTGTGCCTACTCTGCTTTTTTTTTTTTATGCAGGTGATCATTGAAACATCCAGATTGGCCACTGTTGTAAATGGAGTGTTGAGGAAAACTACTCAGGATATGGAACTCAGTGGTAAAATTTCATCTAATTGCGAGAATGCTCGGCATTGTAATTTAAGATTGTTTCAGCCATAGCTCTAAACAATTGAACATTTCTTTTAATGATCAACTTCATATGAACCTGTGATGATGCTCCCGTTTAATATATGTTTTTGAAAATCATTTGACTAATCAAGAACTTGGGAACTCTTAAAAAACAACAGGTGCACAGCTGCAGACATATGCACTTTATATGTTATCTTATAGCAACAACAGAAGCAAATGATGATTGGAAGTTCTTACTGTCCTTCTCTATGCAGGATTTACAATTCCAAAGGGATGGAGAATATATGTTTACACGAGGGAGATAAACTACGACCCTCATTTGTACGAAGAGCCCCTCACTTTCAATCCATGGAGATGGATGGTTCGTGTAGATTAGATCAGAACCCTCGGTTCATTATCTCTTGCTTTTATTTGCATGGAGATTGTTGACCCTGATATCTGCACTTCTTTACTTAGGACCGAAGCATGGAATCTCAAAACTACTTCTTACTATTTGGTGGAGGCACGAGGCAGTGTCCCGGAAAGGAACTCGGAATTGCTGAGATTTCTACATTTCTTCACTACTTTGTAACTAGATACAGGTAAAATGATGATATCGTCAATGCGTTTATTAGCGACATTAGAGATGATTTGACTTGGCTGACATGTGAATGAATGAATTTGATTCATGTTCTTTGCAGATGGGAAGAAGTTGGAGGAGAGAAACTGATGAAATTCCCAAGAGTCGAAGCACCAAATGGATTGCACATTAGAGTCAGATCTTACTGACCCTTTTTGTAAAGGGACAACATGTAGAGAGAAACACATTTGTGAATAACTAGATCTCTAGTTAGAAATTACCGGTTACGAATTGACCGGTGATCAAACGACCATTGCCTACTTATCCTGTGACCTTGATTTGCACGTTAATGATAGTTCCATATAAGGGAGGTACACATGTAATTGCGCACATGAGATGCACATGAGATGGGTGAGTCGACGTGCGCTTCGCCAAATTCGAAAATGACGCGATCGTGCATGTTAGACTTGTCCCTGTAGTTCAGCTTTAGGAGAAAAGCACATGGAAAGGTTAATTCTTTGAAGAAAGAAAGTATGGGCCTGATTTTTTGTCCTCTGCTGCCTCTAGAAAGCCGGTAAAAAAAAAACCGAATGGACTAATCTGAATCCACAAGCAGACCGGCTATATTCAGGCCAAAGTACATTCATGCGAGCACTGATCCGCAAAACTTCTTTCTCTTGCATCGTTCATCCAGTAGAGCATACATTGTGCCGGAGAAAACCGTTCAAAATTTTCCCGGAAAATTGACTGGTCTACCTTGAAACATACCTGGTCCAGTGTTGGATTTTCCTATTGTTTTTATTTCTGCAAGAAATGGGTACTGCACCTCTGTGCGAACAGGTAAGAGGAAAAGCCGAAGCACAGGAATTTTGCTGCAATGGCCTGTTCCCTCCTAAAACCGGCCTGACTTGTGTTCTCAGATTGAATCCATGGAACATGAAATCAACCCAACTGAGAGGCAATTCCAAGTTCCAGAAACCGGCTTAGAACCGAACTGACCGATGGGGCCATGACATGAACCCTCTGAACCAACTTGATCAACAATTTGATGGTGATTGAGGCATCCAATTTCGCTTAGCGAGAGGTTTTAGTTCGTGGCAGAAATTGGCCAAATTGAACAAGTGATTGTAATTGTACAATTGGGCCAAGGCGATTAAAGCACTCATGTTTGGATCAGGTTTGCTTTCGATAGATGAATTTCTGTCTTGAAGTTACCATGAACGAGGATTTAGAGAAACTTAGAACCAAACAATTCACCCAGTGGAACGTGAACCAGCCCATCCAACCGCACCGTATACACCTCCATAATTACAATAGCTAGGCTTAAATCGATGCGTATTCAAAAGGTAACGCAATACGGATTGAGCGTACAGTATAATTTGGCAAAAATTAACAGGAGTACTCACTATAACCCGTCATTAAGTACTTCAACGAACAGGAGAAAGACAATCGGACAAGCCCATTTTATTGTACTTAAATCATATGCAGAATCTTGAGTATAATTCCAAGAAGAAACAAACATGAAAAGACTACCACTTCATTGTCGAAACGTAGCAATTAATTGTAGCTTGATGTCCCAAGGACATTCATAAACAAAACATTTCAAGATATGATGTCAATCCTTTCCAGTTTCATCAAGTTCCTAATGTACTGCTGAAACATTGGGCATCGTCATCTCGGATATCTTAGATAATCATAAGAATCTGGCCCTCAAGGACATGCTGACAGAAGAAAGGGAATGAAAAAAGAAAAGAAACTAGTATCTGATGGAAGCCAAGACGGCGGCTAAGCAAACAATTTCACACGCACATTCTTAAGGGTGAAAAAGCTTCACTTGGCCAAAGATCATGGTTTAAATTACACAACCATGGAGCTAAGGCACGTAATAAATCAACTGAAAGTTCTAGATTCTATGTCACATTACAAAAATAAATGACAATAAAGGGCCACAAAGAAGGGCATTCCTCCACTGGAGCCTGCCTTGCCAAACCAGAGATCAAAATTTATGACGACTGCAATTTAAGCCCAAGTCAGCCGTACATTTTTTAGTCAATATCATGAAACTAAGGTGGGATCTGCTGTCTTTTGACGCTTAGCTTCGCCTTGAGCCTCTTCATCATCGACGTCATCATCATGCTTGAGAGATCCATTTACCGCCTCTGGACCCAAAAGAGAAATGTGCTTGCTGGTGATTTGACGACCTGCTCTCAGCTTTGGACCCCAATGCCTTTCAGGGTTTGGAAGGAAGCGCGCAACCTTCTTGGCTTGTGCCTTGCTCAGAGATGCGACAGCTCGAGCAAAATTTGCCTGCTCCAAACAAAATTTTTAACTAAAAGAACCACCACAGACAATTAATACCTCTTATGAGTGAGTGGCGTGTTTGCCACGACTGTGCACCCACATAAATCATATTTTCATAGCATAAGTGAGTAAATTGTATAGCGTGTCATGTACGTTAAAGAAAAATGAACAGAAAAAAAAAAAAAGGAACAACTGTGAGAGGAGAAACACACTTGGAAAGCTGGTTCCTTGGCCAGTATCACACTTCCAGACTGATCTGGAGGTTGTTCTTTGACAGGATGACTTTTAACCTACATGAGAAACACAACAAAAACTCTATAAACATGTTTATTTATGACAACGGTATGTGACAGAACATCTGCAAATACCACAGAAACATCCATGGGGGCCTATCATCTTCCGGTTTGTAGCTCAAGAAGAATCAGGAGAATCCTTACCCAGCAACGCATGATGTCCCAAATAACGTCCATGGGGGCATCTGTCTTCAGCCCCAACGGATTCACGTGAGTTCCAGAGATTCTATATCCGGCATTAATAACGGCAGAACGGAAGATAACTGCTGAGGGCGAGGTGCATTTTAGGGTGGCACAGAGATTGTGCAAACTTAAAAATAAAGGAATATCAGGCAGTTCCTGCAAACACCATATCATCCAAGAATTAACACATTGATCAAGCCAAAAAAGCGAAGTATAATTGTAATGAGAAAGCAAAGCACGCTGATCAAAGCTTATATCTCTACACAAATATAACCGAGTAAAATTATGTAATCAAAATAATGAGAGAGCAAAACCTAGCACTTAAAGGATAGCCGCCATGAAACAATGTTCAAAAGAAAACTCAGCAGTATACTAAGACATATAAAGACCCACTTCATCTGGACAGATATTGAAGCCATACAAGTTCATTCACTTTGGTCATTAAACTTTATCATTTTGAGAGCCCACAAAAAGCTAATTGCCAATCTACAGTTGCAGAGAGATGATGCCGTGCTACTTCTGTAAAAGCTATTACTTTACAATTGCAGCTCTTAGTTTAAGGTCATGCGACTCTCAAGTCATTTAGATGAAGATGAAAAAAGAGGAAAAGTTCACCTCTGAAATGGTTGTCAGTACAGCCGAGATACGATCATAAGCAGGATATCGATCCTTCATGGACTTCAAATCTGCAAGTATCGAAGTCACCCATTCGTGATCATGGATAGGCGCCGACCATATAGGACCTCCCATATTAAATTTCTTCCCACAGTCGGTGCATTCTTGAGGAACAACAGGACCAAACCCAGGTAAATACCTCACGCTGTTATTCTAAAGGGGAAAAATTGTTTAATCAACACCTCGACTAGAATGACTAAAAATAAGTAAACTAAAGATGCTGAGCCTTGACGTGGTTGAATATGTAAAAGATAGTGAAAATGAACTATAACAAAGGGTTTTTATTTATAAACACACAGATAACCTTGTCACACATAGCCAACCGGCCACAATAATTAAGTTAAAGCGGGAACAGAAAGTTGAGGATATAAAATTTAGCACAACTGCTTACAAAGTGTCTTGGACACTATTTACACTACAGTTGCAAACTTAATTTGATCTCAACCTCGGATTAGACATGTGAATCCTTGTTCCAGCCATTCAATATCATCGGCCTATCAAATGACAATTTACAAGAACTAATAAAATAAAGTAGACCAAGTCCTGTGCTTTCTCTCGGACCAACCAAGGAACACACATGCGGTAATGGGATGGGGAATTATGACATCCAATGGAATATTCGGGTGCTCAAACAGCTCCGCACACCCCATTCTAGAGGAAAACCTAAAACAGAGACTGTGAAAAGGCGAAACGCTTGAAACTACTGAGGTAGAAATGATTTTCTGGCATTATTCTCACCCCATTCAACCTAACCAAGCTCAAAAGACAAGAACTTCACATATATTTATCTCGAAATATGCTCAAACCACCTTTAAATACAGATTCAACCAATAGAGTCGAGAACCCTCCAAACTCATACTCTTTCATTGTATACAGTGTCAGACAATCCAGCTTTGCTTTTTAAAAGAAAATAAAACAATAGTTAAGGAAGCAAGATGAAGAGTTCATGATAGTCAGCTGTCTTTTGATTATTCATATGCTCATACCTCTAATTTCAAAAACATTGAAATTCTAACATCCGGCTTTGAATTATTAAAGTCCAGAGATACAGGGCTTGTTCGCTTAGTTTAATTTTAAGTGCTAATTCTGAATAAGTCGACCTAATATCACAGCAGAAACATCTAAATCTATTTATAAGCCCGTCAACTTGATCCCATGACTAGCCAAAAGAAAAATGAGCATCAAAATGCATTGCTTAAACAGATAAACAACTGAACCATGGCTTGAACAGTTATCATAGGTCATGCCTGATGAACTCCAGCATGCCACAAGTCTTATGCATTTTTCAGAGAGGTACATTGTTAACCACCAATTAGCATTTCATCATTTACCTCAGGTCAAGAAAGTTGTACCATTCCCAAACAACTAGCTATATGGCAAAATACTCTAAATCAGAATGCAAACCTTGGAAACTGTTCTTCCAATCTGCTGAAGATGAAAAGAATCACAACCAATGCATTGATAAACATATGACAGCTTAAGGGGAGTATTCTTCATTGCACTTGCAGACCTGCAACAATTACATCAGCCATCAGACCCTGATTTAGAGCAATCCATCTTCACAAATCATATTCTACCAATATCCTAATGGAGATGAGGTTAACCACCTACGTGTATATCCGAACAAAAACTCGAATGTAGAAGTCCATCTGAACAGATAGCACAGGAACAATGTACCGCTTGTACCGATTTGCGTGGCTCTGCGTAACAAAGAAAAATGAAATATTGACCAGTAAGTTTTGAACTTTTCAAGAGATATTAAAAGAGTGATCTTGAAAAGACAGAAAAGTTGAGGTTCATATGTCCCTTCAAAGACTTTTGGACGAAACCACCATCTAACATGCTGATATCATGTAGATTACCAAAGATAGATGTGCATTCCTAAAAAAATTTGTAAGCTCAAAGAAATAGTGCATTCAAGTTCCTTTCAGAAACGACGACAACTAAGCCTAGCACTTGAACAAAAATAGGCCCAGATGCATGCTTCCATAAATCTCCTTCTCTTACAAATGTGGAATTAAATTAATAATTTCATTCAGGAAAAGATAGCTGTTGCTCAATTATATTGTTAAAGATAACTGAGATATTACTTTTAGTTACTAAGAAATCTTTCTTGAGACGAGCCTGATATGAACCTTGATCAAGATTGACTTATATTTTTGGGCCAGACATCAAGATTGACTTGAGAAACACTAAAACTTACCTCAATGCAGGCTAGAAGGATCCTTAAAGCCATTTCATGGCAATACTTCCCTCTTAGTGGATAGGAACCATATCTAGATCCCATAAAGAAAGACATAAGCAGATATAATGGATTCACTTAAAGAAATTCAAAGGTGAAAGGAAAGCAAGAACTTCAGAAACTTACTTGGAATAGCAAACCTCGCCATTTCCACCACAGAGCACAGCCATGTCAGTTGCTGTGCACATCAGCATTCCCCCATCAACAACGGATTGAACAGCAGAGTCTAAGAAAACAGAAGGAGAACCATATGGATCGAGATCAACCTGAGATGAGACAATACAGGATGAATGAGGTTCCTTCTATACAATAAATTTTTTTAATGAAAGCAGTCATAATTGATTATCTATTCTCCTCAATAAGGACCAGCCAGAAGTCAGTTAACAAATATAAGACTTGGGTATAAAAACAGCTCCCATACCACATCAAACTCTTTTGGGTGGGTGAGCATGAATACTCGAGCATCAGCAAGATGCGATTCCACCTTTGAACTAGCAACTGAACCATTAAATTTAATGTTACGCCTGCAAGCTTCAACTGACGCTGCAGAGGCAATAAGAAGGGCTGAATATTAATGCACATATTTAATCTATACAAGATGCATGGGGCAGCAAAGAAGAATGCCCAAACTAATGTTAAAGGGAACACATTTACCAAGGAACGTTACCCAAAGTTTTAAAGAGTAAATTCATTTGTATGGAAAGGAAATCAAAGATACAACATTATAAAATGAATGGACACTCGAAAGGCTCTCTGCCATGTCAGTCACGTGCAGATAGGTGAAAAAGGTAGAGAAAAAACTTTCACTTTTCAAGTGACACGAGTGCGAATATGCATACTAGTAAAGGACAAACCAGGACATCCATTACCAAAAGTAAAAACCATGGTGAACTTCTAAGGAGGGGGTACTATTAAAAGCGAAATCCTATCCCAAATTGAAGCAACCTTTATCGTTGTCTAGGGCCACAACTTGACCGATCCCTTCTACTTCACGGGCATATCTTAGGGCTCTTAACCCAGATGCTGATAAAGCCTTCAGTCACAAGGAAATGATTAGAATATATATGCAGCATTATTTCATTAGTGAAATGAACTGAGAGGCAAACTGGTAATGGGGTACCTCGAGAACTCTTGGTGGCTTCAGCTCTCTTTTCATTTTTCCATTTGTGCTCTCAGGTATGTCCTCGTGGACACTGCAAGGTTCTTCTTGAGGCGTCTCGTCAAGCATTTCTCGCTCTCCATTACATTTTACATCATCCATTGGCAGTTCATTGGGTGCTGCTTCTGAAACAGATTCCGAGTTTTTCTCAAGTACCTTTTCTGCTGATTTTGTCCTTTTCGTCAAGAAGGCCTCATGCTCCAGCTTTCGTTTTTCTATAAATGACCTCAGAACCGCAACGGATAAGTCCCTATTGTTAACCTGATTACAAGAGAGAACAATCAGGATCCTTTCAAGGAGCAATTATATACAGGAGACATCTACAGCCTTGTTATATATTCAGTTGCAGTTTTCTAGAGAAAAAAATACTAGAATAAATATATTGCAGGCATGACATGACATCTTCAAGAAAGCTTTTGCATGTGTAAAGAAGTTACAATGAGATTGGCAAATATCCCCCGACACTCACTAACCAGATAACAACTTGTCGAATAAAAGAAATAGAATACTGCACACCGAAATAACACACAGAGAGATACCTCTTTTAGTCTTGAAGAAGAGATGACTATCCACGCTAAACTTTTTACGATGCGGGAAATACATTACTTACGGTGCCACTCAGGTGCATTTAGTAATTTCTCACACCATGAGACGCATCAAATATAAATCAAGCATAGCGGTGCCACTTTGCAAAAGGAGTTCATTCATTCAACCATGCAAAAGGTACAAATTCTTTAAATTGGTTGTTAATTGCTTGACGGCTACGAAAACAGTAAGAAGACATTGCTCAAGTTGGGTGCAGCTATTGGAATAATCACCGATGCTCAAACTCGAAACAGGTAAGAGCATTCAGGAATTTACACTTGATTTCTCACTTCCCAGCCAAAATAAAAGAAAACCCATTTTTGGCCAGTTTAAAGAAGATCGTTCCAACAGCCAAACCGAAAACCAAGCACAAGAATCAAGCCATCACATGCCAAACTGAATCGTAGCGCCAGAAACCACACCAAACCAAACCAAACCAGAGTCTATCTTACCTCTTTCTTAAAATATTGGGAGAAACTCAAGCAAAAGGTAAAGTTAAAGCATTGAAAACAACCACTAATCAAACAAAGAACCAAATCCCTTGAGCACCACCATATGACTCGCTTCGTCAACGAATGCATCCGCAGCAAACCGGGGGGAAAAGAAAACAAAAGGGGGAGGGGAGGGGAGGGTGGGAGAGCTCCGCACCTGGGTCTTGTTGTAAAAGACTTCATTCTTAGCGTGCATGAGAATCTCCGCTTCCCCTTCCTTGATGATCTTGAAGTCGTTGAGATCCATCGACACGGGGCGTTTCGCAAATCGCGGTTCCTCCCGGGGGTCGGCGCAGGGGCGGGTCGGCAATCGCTAACGGGACAGAAGGCGGAGGCCGGGGGCGACGGCAGAGGGCGGGCGGCGGCGGCGGCGGCGTGTGCTTCGCCGAGCTTGTGAGGGTGGGGAAAGGGAAGCGGGAAGGCGCGGAGGATATGATTTATAGAGGAGGACGACACAAGCTCTTGGCCTGTCCGTGCTGGCGAGTGGGGAAAAACCCTATCGGTAGCGCGGCAACAGTAACGCCTTTTCTCTCTCGCTCGTGCGTTTCCTGTGTCCGGACAGGCTCTGTTTCATCTCCCACGTAGTTTTTTTCTGATTCCTTAGACCCTCGAATTTCTTTCATTTTAGCTGTTTGGAATATTGGGCCAAGAAACTTTTTTCGCGAAAAAAATGAATGATTTGAAAAATATTTTCTTTAAAAAACGATCGCTCGTATTGTTTGCAAAATTGGGTTTTATTGTTCATGAAAATATTTGGACGCAATCTGTTTTCTTTAATGAAAACATATTCTCCAAATGTTATTCATTTTTCGCGATACAAAAGACCCATTATCAAGAGTATGGACTATTTCTTTTTACGTTTAGGTTTTATTCCCCCAAAACGGCCTAATACCCTAAAAAAAAACTCCAAATTTTAGGTTCAGTCACAAATACCCTAAACTTTTTTTGTAACATAAAAAACTCTCAATTTCAGATTTAGTTCCAATTCTATCATATACTTTTTTGTCACATGAAAACACAAAATTTAAGTCATGTCCTAATTCTACTGTCCAATCCCAATTTTACCTTAAAATTTTTTCAGTTTCATAAAAAAAAAATCAACTTTTACTTGAATCACTAATCTACCGCCATTACCTCTCTATCCAAAATTTCTCATTGACAATCAAGAGATGGAAAACTCCCACGCATGAGTTGTTCGAGCATCCCAAGCCGAGTATCTAGAGCACGAGCTCTCCAGCCATGAGAGATGGAACATTCCATAGCGTGAGAAGTTTACGACTAAGTGCAAAATCGAAGATCCCCGAGCAAAATGAAAGGAAGACTCTCTCGAGAGTAAAATAATTGAAAAAAACCAACCATAATTGCTTTAGTTTTTACCCAAATTTCACATCCAATAAGACATTGAGGCTAATATGGAAATTTATCTTCAAAAGATGTCTTTTTGGATTTGAAATTTAGAAAAAAAAACTAGAGCAATGATATAGAAACACCATGTAAGATCACTGAGTGCGATTTTAGACAAGGGGTTAATGGGGGGAAAATTTGAGACTTAAATAAAAGTTGGTGATTTTTATGAGACAAAAAATTTTACGTAGAGTTGGAACTTAACTTAAAGCTGGATTTTTTTTACGAGACAAAAAATTGAGGGTAGGGTTAGGATTGGAGTAAAGTTGAGAGATTTTTATGAGATAAAAAAAAAATTAGGGTAGAATTGGAACTGAATTTAAACACGAGTCTTTTATGAGACAAAAAAAGGTTTGGTGTTAAATTGGAACTGGAGCTAAAATTGCAGGGTTTCTTAGCTAAAGTTAATTTGCAAAGCCATTTCAATGGGTGTCGGATATGACGTGTTCATATACCAATTTAGTTTTTAAATCACTTTGTAAACTAAATTTGCACCCTAATCTTAGTATATATTGCTCATTTTTCGAATACATAATTTACATCTTAGGAGTAACTTGCTAAATAAATTTCCTACTATTACACAAAAACACAAAATATTTCCCAAGGCGCCATAAACCTACGCCCTAAATCCCGTAACCCTACTATCATTTCCGTCCGAAGTCACCACCGTCGCCGACCACCTTCACCTTCACATGATTTAAGGTTCTAGTCGTTCATCAATGGAGAACTTCAAATTTTACTTTGGTTGATCGAGAATTTAATCTTTTTAAAGTCTCGAGTTCACCGTCTGTGAAGATCTAGACGTCACAAAGAAAGTGGCAAATGACCAAACTATCTAGAGCCCCATCGAATTTCCAGTGCTTGGGTTGACAGTGAGAATGTGATTTTAAAGATAGAAATTGCATAATATTTTGGGGACAAGAATTGAAGATTTCCTTTTTCAACTTGTTGTATTGACCTAAATTACACTAGACTAGATAGCACAAGCAGCCAAAATGAAATAGCAAAAACATCCTGGAGAAGTCAGGTTGCTAATGACCCGATATAGATGCACAGAGATGCTCATAAATCTTACCTTTTCCCAAGCCTCTTCTTCTGTCTGTTGGCCAAACAGAAAATAAAAAACTTACCTTTTCCCAATTACTACAAAAATACTATTTCAGCACTTATGGGTCATAAACACAAACATATCGCATGATTGCGCTATTGGAAAATTCAAAAATCTGCAGGAATAAAAGTATGAAATTCAAGAAAGCTTCAAGAAAAGCAAAAGCCGGATGGGGTCTCTTCGGGATGTGATACTTGCTCTGCAGAAAACCAGGATTAACAGTAACTCATACAGTATTAAGAGCCCATATTAACTTAAGAGGGGGGAAAAATGAGTTGTATGCCTCTCCTGAAATCTCTTCTGATGGTTCTCTCACATTTGGGGAACTCGTATAACACAGTAGATCAGATGAACGGCCTCAATCCCCGTCTGATTTTTTTTTACAATAAATATAGGCACTCAACAAAATTGATCCGTGACGGGGTCCGTGACGGGGTCTATTCATTCAATGGAAACTCTGCAAAAGTAGCACCCCGAGCACCGATAGTGTGGCCATGGATCTTGTAGTATCATCAAAATGGGCCATTTTTTCCATCTCCCACTTCTTTCCATGGACTGCCACTAGTCTCAGCAAATAAACTTGCACGATGAGCATAAAATTAATCTACACATATCCATTTGGTCTCTCGCTGCTCTTTGCGGATCGCTTCTGCAAGTCTGCATCATAATGTTGAAAAGCAGCATCTAAGGCCTACATCAAATGAAGTTTCTGTTAGATCTCTCGTTCCATTTGCCACCTACGTGCCACAAGATATGCTAGCTCTCCAGCAAAAGTTCATGTTGTGTAATCTCAAAAGGAATATAGGGATAATTTAATCCCTGCATGTCTATCAATCAGTGCATTCTGTCCCTAATACTCATCCAGTAAGCAATTCTGCAAATTTTAGTTGAAATAGCTTCTAGTGAAACCACTTAAGTCCAGCACAAAGACTATAAAACCATCTGCGGTTGCAATTGTTATTAAAAGGAAATCCCATACCTGATGCATTTGGCGAACAAGAACGGAAACATGCTGCTTGTGGTTGGCTGGCACAGATTTCTTGATCTCCTGAAATTCGAAGGAAAATCAAAGGTTAAACGATTTCTAAACAACAGACGGGTTGCTAACCAAGCCTTGTCAAAAATTCAAAATCCTAAAATGAAAGTCACAAGTGAAGCAGATTAGATGATGCACCAAACAACATATAGGATTCACTTGACGTTGTAAATTACTTGAACGCTTTGCTGTGCTAGGAAGCACTGCTGCTGTGGCTATATTAGGTGCTTCAAAGATAATATTTTAAGGATGTCGTTCATCATGTTATGAGTAAAACAACAAATAGAAAAAATACACCAGGTAGCTTTCAGTTGATAATGGAGGACTCTGCGGACAAAAGCAGAAGAGATTTTAGCAAGTGATGTACAGCACAGAGAGGAGAGGCAAAAAGACCAGTTGGTAGAGAGTGCGAGAGAATTGGAGGAAACTAAGGTCGCACTTGATTTTAGGTTAAAAAAAAGATGGTGCTTCTTTAGCGTTATGTTCTTTTAATTAAGCCAATTTTTTTCTGGCTTTCACAGATATACGAAAGATCTATGATGAACAAAAAAGGTCGAGGTTAGCTGGGGCTTGACATTCTACCTTTACACTGGCCAGCCTGAGAACTAATCAGGCCTGACTTCAGCCAGGCCCACCCACGAGGGGCATAAACTTTATCCTGGCCCTGCCTAACAGGCCCAACAGACCGAGATAGGTATATATGCCAAACACCCTAAGGGAAATACTGCAGCTTTTTGGAAGCAAAAAGCAGACTCCCAAACACCTAGCTAGTCACATCCATGTTCCATGAAAAACAAATTGACCAGGTAAATGATAGTTTCATGTAGTACCATCAGTTTACACAAGCAATGCAAAGCTTCAACAAACAACATGGAAGAGAGAATTTCTCAACAAAGCCTGCTTGTATCAAGAACAAATCCATAATCTATATGGGTTGCCACCTTCAAATCAACTGCCTCAGGATGAGTTATCAACTCTTAAAAAGGCACTCTGGCAGGAAAAAAGAAAAAGAACGTGATTCTTCAAATCCTACAAGAAACTGTTGTTTCCTTTTTGGCAGGAGATAAAAACATTTCATTAATTTACTTCTTACATTAGATTCCTCTTAAAACTCTAAATCTTGAAGAGAAAAATCATATTAAATGCTGTAAGTTTTCAACAAGAGCATAGTATTGTGAAGCTAGTTGACAAGAATCCCAAACAGACATGACCCTATACAAAGCCACCAGTGGATCCAGATCAACATAAAATTAAGGATGAGAACCCTACATTACCACTTGAATGAGAAAAAGATCATATTTTCTCAAAGGGGTTTGTATTAATCAATCAGTTAACAAATTCTAGGAGATTAACAAGAAACATACTTCAAGCTGAGGGTAAATTTGTGACATGGCATCCTTCAGTCTGTTTACCTGCACATAATATAATAAACGAGAAAGTAAAAAAGTTACCCAGTGATTATCCAATTAAATGCTAAACAAAGAAACTTCAGTTTTTCATAATTCGATTAAACTCAAGTTCTTTGACAAGTGCTGCATCTCAATCCTAATTTTCAGTTCCTCCACCTACTTGACCAACTGAGCAATCATTCAAGGGAAATGGCTCGCAAAAACCCGTTCCCTGTGTCCTATCTTTTTGCTTGCAACAGACAAGGAGGGCCATAACTGGGTAGTCATGTGAGTTTAAAGAGAGAAATCTACTAACAGGGCTTGCTGTCAAACCCTACCACTAAATTAATGATACTCAAAACCTCAATAGAATTAGCGTTATACCTCAGCAAGTGACTTCCACACATACAAAAATCACCTATCACATTTGTAATGCATTGACTGCCAAGGTTCCTTTGTTTGACCTTTAATGAGACCTCCTGCTACTGACTGAGGAGATATAGCAAACATTTACCTTCGCATAAAGGTAAGAA